ACAATATCATACCAAAACACCATATACATTTACATAAGAATTTATTATTAACCAAATACTCCAAGAGAATCACTCGCAACGACCAGTCAAATAAAAATGTCTGAACATAGCTTGACAAACTTGTGCATATAAACCCGCCAATCAAATCTCAAGATCGACTTGGTCCAAACAAGAAACATACCAGTCAGCTGCTTAATCTAAAGCGAAACCAACTCAGTACTACGATACGGTATCGGCGCTGACTGTGTACTAGAAAAATATTCTATATTTATATTTCTGATTTCATAGTCTTTAGATTTTTTGTCATTTAGCGCTGTACGCTAACGTTTTTTATTTCAAAATCTTTTTTTTTGATACTGTTAGTTAACACTATATTTTATTCTGTTTTGTTTTAATTTTATGTATATATTTGAGATAAGTTGAGCACTGTCTGCGTGTGTACATAAAGTGTCAATATGATATGCAATATGATATTTTCAATGGTCGACTTTATCTTAATCTCTCGACTTAATCACCCCAGTTTGGAATATTTACGATTATATCCAAACTTATGTCAAGTAATGAAAAGTATTTAATCTTATACTAATCAATATAAATAACAATATGATTTACCGCACTAACGATGTGGATTGAAGTCCTGCTAAGATTGATCTAAAAACATCTTTTAAATAAATAAAACCTCAAGCACTTATTAAATACACAAAAATCTACATAAAGATTTAACTCTATATGGTATCGCTAAAAGGATACCGCAGTCAATGCTAGGTTACAAAAATACAGATCAACCTAACAGTATGATTTCATATAAATATTCTGGGAGATTCCGATCTTGCAGTTGCTGCTGTGTGATGAAGGGTTTTGTTATAATATCAACCAAATGATGAGGAATTTTAATAAATTTCAATATTTATATACTAAAAATCCGGTCACAAATAGTTGTGGCCAATACATACCTCATTAGAAATTAATTTTCAATAAAAAATTTTTGTTCAAATCTTTACCAAAAGCCCCCGGTTAGTTTTTATATCACCCAATAATTTGTTTTTGAATATCGGACTGTTTAAATCTTTTGGAAGCCTAATAGATAAAAACTATTTGTGAAATTTTCAGTTATGACACCTGAGAACTTTTATTGCTTTTAAACTAATCACAAAGCCATGCCACAATGTAATCAAAGCACACTCTGGCTGCTAGTAATCCATTTAGAGTTTGTAGATAAAAATTCCTTAAATTAATTCCCTGTTATATGTTATATGCGACAACTGAAGCATCCCTTATCTTCTTAACACTCTTCCTTGCACAGAATCACTGTTAATATTCCAAAAACAAAATTTAAGCCAAAATTTCTGCACAAATTTATTCTATAGAAAAGTGCAATTTACAACAAAAACTAATAGGAATAGAATGGACACTCTCACTTCCCTTAACATTTGCAACATTTCAGATTCTCTTAAATAGTTCATTTAGTACACCCTCACCCTAGAAGGGTGTGAAGGCACAAAAGCATAAAAAACTGCTTAACTAAGGATAATAAACAAGCGGCCACTCTCGGAGTCTAACACATGAGCGCAGTGAATACGTTTTATGTGTTACATCCACTTCGGTTGGGTCACTGAACTTCCTTGGTCACACAGGTTGTTGTTTCTATTTATTTGAAGTGCAAACGCAGTACAGCAGATTTCTTTGAACTTCATCCAAGCAACCAACCCAATTTCACTTAGTTTCCACTGACATCGATGCACTTAAGCTTCTGCTCTATTCAACAATTTCGCAAACTATGAATCCGATTTTTTTTTTATGGAGAGCTGTAGGCAGATATGAGTATCCATACTGACATAAATGCAAATATTTACTTTTACTTTTATGAGATAAAATTTGTTTATTCAGTTGATATTTTTTATGAGGATTGTGAGAACAAAGCGACTTTTATTCAAACGAAAGTTGAGATAACCACTTAACATAGAATGCAGTTTTTCCCAACGTGCTAACTAAATCCATAAAAAGAAATTTTATATCCCCTAAAGGTTTTGGAAACCTAAATATTGAAATAAAACAAATTTTTGTATATTCAGTTTCCATTGATATTTAAATTTATTTTGAAATTGTATATTATATATAAGTCACTATAACGACATATATATTTTATAACACTTCTCTAATAAACTGGGTAATAAAAACATTTGCTATTTGTTGTCACTAGATGGTGTTGATAACATATATATTATGTTGAAACTGTTTTGAGCTAGTGCACTTAAGCACTTATATTCTTTTTTAACTCGAGGTTCAAAACCCCTCTTTGTGCCTTGACTAGATTATTGTTTATCACTTCATCATACTAAGCAATAATTGACCTCAGATCTGCATACCTCCCCGAGGAGCCTGACAATACTAAACCGATTATGTCAGATAAACACTTGTGTGAAAGAAGACCTTTTAGGTTAATTTTTTTATGAGTTCAGTTGTGTATTTTATCAATTGTATAAAAAGTTATATTCATTTATACATGAGCAAGAAATCTGAAGAAATACATTCTGTGCTGTTTTACTACTATTAACAAAAAGTAAAGTTACTACAGAAACGTGTCGAAAAATTTGTGCAGCGTACGGTAAGAATGCTGTAAGTGAACTCCAGACCCAGAAGTAGCTTACTCGATTCCGTTCCGATAATTTCAATATGAAATATTTATTTCGTACTGGTCACCCAAACACCACAAAAAGGCGATTAAATGTTGCAACTTCTCGAATAAGGCCGACACACAAACTGTCAAAAGATACCGATCCCAGCAGTAGTTTGCTCTATCCGTTTTCGGAAATTTAAATGCCTAAAATGTACTTTGTTCTGGTCGCCCAGTCACTAAAAAAACCGATTAAATTTTAAAACTTGAGATAGTGGAGGCACTAGTAATCCACCATTTGACAGTTTGGAATTATTTAAAAGAGAATGCTCTACAAAATACCTCCATGTTAGGGCAATGAAACTTAATTGATGGAATTTTCATATGCGAAACTTTGCTGAAATGCAACAAAATCAAATCATTTATGAAGCCAATCAATACAGGCAATAAAAAATAGATAACATATAAAAATATCCAAGCAATCATTGGCAAAAACCTGCAATCCTCCACAAACGATTTCAAAGCCTTATGTGATAGACTAACTATCTAAGATTTGTGTGTTGATTAGTTGCAAGAATTGAAAGGAAATTATATATTAAAAGTTGCTTTAACCTGATATAATGATTAATTCGGTCGTCTAGTGTTCACAACTCAACTGCTTGAATGAAATAATCAAGAAAAAGTAACAAAAATTTGTTAACAGAAAAGAAATTATATTCTATCATAACAATGCCAGGATATACTCATCTTTGATGAATTGGAACCTGATTGAGAAGATTTGATGCATTCGCCATATAACCCGGACCTTGCACCATCTGAATACCATTTGTTTTGGTCTCTATAACATTCTCTTAATGATAAAAAATTGAGTGACCCAAGAACCATTGAAAATGAAATTAAATTTCAATAAAAAAAATTTTGGTTTAAAAATGTACCCATAGCAAATACTTTTTATATCACCCAATACAATATTAAGACTGTGATCTTCCTTAAAACAGTTTTTCTCTCCTGATAGCTATCCATATCAACAAACCAGCATGATGTACATATTATTGAAAGTAGTGCTGCTATAAAGCTGTTATCTTCTGTACACAACACAATAAATTATTGAAAAAGTCTCTATATAGGCGAACTGCACGTTTTAATGGGGAATTTGAAAGTTTAATATCAATCAAATGCAGATTTCTATATTTACTTCTTCAGTTTCTGATTATCATAATGACTTATAATGTATTAATTTTATAATAAACCACATTTCGACTATATAGTTATCTGTGTGGAACATCAATCCATGTACTAGCCAAATCTTTGTAAATTTGCAGTTGGTACTATATTTCTATATATTCTATATTCACAGTTGGAAAAGTTTCGCCTGTCTTAAACATTAGATTTAAATATAAAATTTCTTATGGGCTAGCAGACGAACCAAATGAAAAATGTTCAGCATATATTTCGTTCTGCTTTTTAGAACTTCATCAGTGCTCAGTTCGCTAATTATTTATAATACAGATATTTATCCAAAATTGAAATAGCTACGTTACTAGCATAGGCAACCATCTTCGTTCTTTTTACAATAAAGACCTTTAAGATCTTATTTACGCCAAAAGCTAGAAAAGGTGTGATAGCACTCCTCCCTAATTGTTTCCCTTTGTAGTTCTCTTGTTCACACAATCCATTAACATAGTAGCCTTGACGACTCCGCTGCCAAGCATTATACTAATCCATGCAATTATGGTACCAGCGACCCGTTTAAGTCAGCAAAGTTGATACTTATGTTAATATGAGAATCTGTGTTAAGATTTGAGCTACAACTGTGAAATTGACTTTAAATATATCATTTTATATTAAAGATGATTTATTCATTTTGTGTTGATTATTTGAACTATATAAGGCATATCTATGCTCCAGAATTAGAACAAGATTAATTCTAATAAATAACTTAACGTGAGAAATAAAAATTAACAAAGCTTTGGACCCAAAATGTTCGTTTAGAAATTATAATAATGTCAAATATATCTTAATGAAATGAAATAAAAATGTACTAACTTTAAAAAAAAAATACACATATATTTAATTTTAGCTAATAAATGTAATATTCGGGATATTCAGAGAAAACTCGGGAACTCAGTATTCTATAAGTGCTACCGAAATGATAAGAGAAAGTTTATCAAATGTCTAGTTACGATGTGCAGACAAAATATTCATATATGCATTTATTTTTTATTCCAAATAAAATAGCTTCTTTGCTTATTTTAAAATTAAAACTTACTACTTATTTAAATTTATTTCAAAATATATGCTATTAGCGCCATCTCTGTGCGAATAGTTGAAATAATATTGATTTTTCCTTCACTCTTTTATTGAGATTTTCACTTTCGCCGAAAATGGAAATTGTGCTTAACTTCACCTAACAACAAGAGCAGAAATAGTATCGGTATTTCCAATAGGTAGACAAAGATATAAAATATTACTAAAAAAAATAATTAATTATTTTTTATATATATTTTAGGCTGATACCGTTTCAAAATTAACATATCAATAAATAATTATAATTGAATTTGCATTTATTTTTATTATTGCTTGAGAACAGTAATTGTAATTGTTGCGCATGGTGGAAAAGCCCAACAAGTGGAAGTTATTGTGATAAAATAAATTTATAAAATATTTCTATTATTGACGACATCACTTCATCATAGTCACCATAGGTCTTGCAGAGACAGCTGTATTGGATATAATGGCTGCTAATCTACAGCAGCAACGGATCATTAATCACCAGTTGAGGCGTGAAGTAGACGTACCACGGATGCAGGTATCCGAAGCATGTTTGCTCATAATGAAGTACATATCGGACCATGAAAGTGATGATTGCCTACTTAATGGTTTCACTAGCCAGAAAGTCAATCCATTTAGAGAGAAAGCTTCCTGTGCAATTTTGTAAGCTAGCCTAACACTAAAAGCAATTATGTAGCTCTAATCTAAAGTATTATATTTTTATGTATATATATAATATATATATAACATATGTTTATCATTTATAGCAAAACATATATTATAATAATTTTTTTTTAACTGTGTGCAATGATAAACACTAGACTTTTTATAAAGTAACTATAACGATATAAATACATACATATATATACATATACATATAAGAAATTAGCCAAAATATCTATTACTGAAATGTTAAAGTATTACTAAAATTTAGACATATTTATTGATATATTAACAAATACAGCCGTCTTATTCTACTAAGAAAACTCTATTTTCATATAAAATAAAATGTACTAATATTTATTTATGCTTTTAGAATTATATGAAACAATATTTATATATATGTATATATAACACATATACATTAATAAATTTATATATTTATATGCATGTAATTCGAAAATATTATATATACAAATAAAATGTTAACTATTGTAGTAAAAATATTTAATAAAATAAAAATTACAATATAATATAAATGGTTTTTGTATTTGTGTTGCTGATAAAGCTACGCTTTCTTTATAATGACAAAGAAGCTATATGTAAAATTTAGAGGGTCTTCGAATAGCAAAGAAAGAAAGGAGAAATGGCTGACCATACTCATAAGTGCTCATAATCAGTGGTCTTAGGAAATAATCGAATTTTAATTAGTTTATAGTCTGTATATAATTTATTTGGACTGCAAGTGCCAGGCTTAGAACTCGTGCCTGTCAAATTAGACAGACAAATCTTAAAAGTGAAATTTAGGAGACTTGTAGATTATGTTAATCTGGCTAGATGCGAGGTACGCATAGGTTGGCCTCTAACGGTAACCAGATAAAATGAAAACTTTATGCAGATTTTGTAGCAAGCATTTTTGGGAATTTAAAGATTACGAATTATAGGTCTATTTCTGACACAGCGGACTATAATCTACAGTGAATTGAATACAAAAATATCAAATACAATAACAATAAAGCAGCAAATACACACACATATGCAGGAATTATATACGAGTATGTGTACAAATTACTAGGTATAGATAGTACTCAATCCTATGAAGTATGACCTTCATTAATTCGACGGTTAATTATAAAAAATGGTTTATGTAAACAATCAAATCAGCTGTAGTAATTAATGCATATATTAAAAATATTATTTTCAGATGGCTAAAACGCTGTAGCTGTAAACTATAGTATATAACTGTACATATAATAAATTTCTTCATAATAAATAAATTTAAAATAAAATAAAATGAAATAAAACAAAAATACTTCTACTACTTACAAGTATTTTGTATTCTGTTTCTACTATTAATCCTATTATTTTTGTTTAACAAAGTTTAATACGTTTTATAAAAAAACTCATACTGATTACCCTGATACTGATAACAGAGAACAGTAGTGGCTCTAAATCAAAAATAGACGTCACCGGTACTTAACCTAGTACTAACATCCATTTCGCAGAAAAAATTGCGATGAGTCTATGTAAAGAATTATTTCTAATTATTTTCTATAATATAATTTTCTATAAATAATTGGCAACGCGGCGTCATCGAGAAGATTCTACTGTCAGGTGCTACGCTTATTGTGAATGACCATTTAGTTTTGTAGCCGATTGTCAAATAACGCGTGTTGAGGTTAAAACGTATTCGCCTTAGTTTTTCGTTAGTGAAGTTCTTCTATAAAATCTGTGCATTAAAATGGCTTTATCTGTACCAAAAGCGCCCGGAGTGGCTCAAATGCTTAAAGATGGAGCAAAAGTAAGTAAAATATGTAAAATAAACAAAGTTTCATTTATATATCCATATAATATATGCATATAATTGTACAAAAATGAAACATGCTGAAGTACGCCTTCAATGGCTAAACGGTATTAGTCATCGCGAGTAATACAAATTAAATTATATACATTTTAATAAATTAAATTCATTTAGTATGTGTATAAATAGTAAAATACAAATAATTTTAGATGTACAGTGGTTTGGAGGAAGCTGTATATCGCAACATTACCGCATGCAAAGAATTCTCACAGACCATGCGTTCCGCCTATGGACCAAACGGTATGAACAAAATGATAATTAATCATATCGAAAAACAGTTCGTAACCAGTGATGCAGGCACAATAATGCGTGAACTGGATGTTGAACATCCAGCTGCAAAATTAATCGTTATGGCAAGTCAAATGCAAGACGCCGAAGTTGGTGATGGCACCAATTTTGTAGTTGTCTTTGCCGGTGCACTGCTTGAAGCTGCTGAGGAATTGCTACGCTTGGGTATTACTACTGCCGAAATTGCTGACGGCTATGAAAAAGCATTAAACAAATCTTTAGATATATTACCAAAATTAGTTTGTCATGAAATTGAAGATTTTCGTGATGTAGCGAAAGTGAAACGCTGCCTTAATGCTTGCATTATGTCAAAACAATACTCTGAAGAGGAATTCCTAACTGAATTGATAGCCAAAGCTTGCGTTTCAATTCTACCAGATAAAAGCACTTTTAATGTTGATAATATACGCGTCTGCAAAATTCTCGGAAGTGGCTTAGCTAAGTCAGAAGTAGTGCGTGGTATGGTATTTAAGCGTTTTGTTGAGGGTGACGTGACCTATGCAGAGAAAGCAAAAGTTGTCATTTTCTCTTGCCCAATTGATATTATACAAACAGAAACTAAAGGTACTGTTCTAATCAAAAGCGCTGACGAATTGATGAATTTCTCTGCTGGTGAGGAGAACTTGTTGGAATCACAAATTAAATCTATTGCTGAAGCTGGTGTAAAGGTAGTTGTATCTGGTGGCAAAGTTGGCGATATGGCTTTGCATTTCCTTAACAAATATGGACTTATGGCAGTACGGTTGAACTCAAAATTCGATTTACGTCGCTTAAGTCGTGCAGTAAATGGTACAGTGCTTCCTAGAATTGCCACACCAAGTCAAGAAGAATTAGGTTATTGCGATAAAGTATGCATTGAAGAACTGGGTGATACCACTATCGTCGCATTCAGGTTAATATACACTTAAAGTTTATGCAACAATCATAAATATTTACTAATTTTTTTTATTTATCTCAACAGAAATGAAGGCGCTGAGTCACGTATTGCCACAATTGTAATACGCGGTGCTACAAACAACTTTATGGATGATATTGAACGTGCACTTGATGATGGTGTTAATAACTTCAAAGGACTGACCCGCGATGGTCGTTATGTGCCAGGTGCAGGAGCAACTGAAATCGAGC